ACAGTACCAACGCTGACACTGAAAATATTTCTTTAAAACACTATAAGTAGCTCGTTAAGGACCATAACCCCCCCCCTTCCTTCCCCCCCCCCTCCCCCCCCCCCCCTACGTTTAAAATCGTTGGCTCTGCTTGTAAACATTTAGAGTGAACACAGCTCACTAAAACCATGTAGGGGTGGGGAGGTAGGGAGAGCGTTTGCAGCTTGTTTTCTAACGGCTCGAAGAGGAGAATTATATATATAGATACCACATTACATTCACATTTACACAAATACCAAAGAAAGAAACATTTCTACCAAATTCAACTATAACACATGTAAGAAACATTTCTACCTAATCCAAAAAGTACACATGTAAAAAGCATTTCTATCTAATCACACAAACACATATGTAAGAAACATTTCTACACAATCTAACAATACATAGGCCTATGTACACACATTTCCATCTAATCCCAACCCCCATCATCCAAACTGCGGCAAAACAATTACAAAAACATATTAAACAAGACAAGGCCCATCCAAATGTCCCAGTTTTACCCAGAAATTATGACGTAAACATGTTGCTACTTCCAATAACCCCAGCAATCTATCCCAGAAATTATGACGTAAACATGTAGCTACTTCCAATAACCCCACCAATCTATCCCAGAAATTATGACGTAAACATGTAGCTACTTCCAATAACCCCAGCAATCTATCCCAGAAATTATGACGTAAACATGTAGCTACTTCCAATAACCCCACCAATCTATCCCAGAAATTATGACGTAAACATGTAGCTACTTCCAATAACCCCAGCAATCTATCCCAGAAATTATGACGTAAACATGTAGCTACTTCCAATAACCCCACCAATCTATTCCAGGAATTATGACGTAAACATGTAGCTACTTCCAATAACCCCAGCAATCTATCCCAGAAATTATGACGTAAACATGTAGCTACTTCCAATAACCCCACCAATCTATTCCAGGAATTATGACGTAAACATGTAGCTACTTCCAATAACCCCACCAATCTATCCCAGGAATTATGACGTCAACATGTAGCTACTTCCAATAACCCCACCAATCTATCCCCGGAAATGTCCCTTCCAGACCTGGAACCATTTTCCCTGCCATAAAGAATGGCAGATAATAAATGATGGTGATTAATCGAATGGATGACCGCCCTTTTCTATTGCCTTGTATCCCACAGCTGACGTCCCTCTCTCTCTAGGCGGGCAGAATTTACGCTTCAAGTCGTGTAATCTTCCACGGGCAAACTTTCTTTATGGGCCCCTGCAGGTCAGTTTAGCGTTTTTATGGGCCCCGGTAGGTCGGTTGTGTTGGTATTATGGGTGCCCTCTACTGGTAACATGAGTGGATGTTACAGGATCATTTGCAATACATCGAAACTCAAGTTTGTCTTCTTTGAGGAAAGCTAGTGGAAGTGGTTTTAATGTGACTATGTGGGATCCCAGTTTGTAAGGGGTGGGGGAGTGAAGGGGTGGGGGAGCAGTTTACATATGTAGGGTGTAGGCCATTACATAGAAAAAAACAAAACTGATGGGAAAATGACGGGCTCATAAGGACAGTACATTTTCTGTCATCTGATGGGGGGGGGGGGGGGGTAGGAGTGTATGTTGCTAAATGTAGAGTCAATATAATGTGGAGTGTTGGCGTGTTAGTTGCTAAATGTGTAGTAAAAATAATGTGGATCTTAAGTTGCTAAATGTGTAGTAAACATAATGTGAATCTTAAGTAGCTAAATGTGTAGAAAACAAATTATGATGTCAAATTGCTGGATGGCAAAATGTGAAGTCAACTTAATGTGACAAGTCACAACACATGTGGTGACAGCACGTGTTTTGACACATGTATTTGGCCACAACAGCACGATATAACATCTGTGACAACAAACAAAAGCAATAAAAAAAAGTTGATATTCATTGTAGACATTTTATTGACGCCTGTTCGTGATGGGTTTAAATTAATCAACAAGTTAATTAGCGCACTTTTTCACAATCTTTCAACTTTTCACATTACAACATTTGAAGTTCCACACATACATTTTTTGCATACACTCAAATCTTTTAAACCATTCATTAACTTTGTTCCATTATATATTCAGTCATCTAGTTTAATCAATCATACAATCAACGTGTTCAATCATTCACATTGTTGCAAAAAGGCCTGAGCTATTTACATATCTGTGCTACGCGCAATCGTCTCTCAAGCAATCAAACACGCTACCACAATCCCAAACAATCACATCAACAATCATTACATATATCATGTATCACACAATCATGTATCACACAAGCATATATCACGCAATCACAAAATCACAATCACACATATGGCACAATCAAGTCGTACACAATCATCAATCACACCATTCCAACCGTGTCTTATTCTTGAAAGACTGTACATCATACGTTGGGGAAAATAAATCATTGTCATATGCAAAAGTCGTTGAGAGAAAACATGAGAAACTATATACAAAAGATGAATGTGATACAATATACTTCTGGTATACAGAATTCACATCTTTTTATATCACAATATGGATGACATTAGAACTTTGTTTCACAAAAAAAAAAAAATGTACAAATTAGACGAACAGTTTGGTTTTAAAAAAATAAATTATTTGGTCCAACATCGCTGTCAGTCTTTAAAAAAATGTCCTACATAAAATGTCCTACTTGAATCTAATCTAGTCCTATACAAGATAGGACACATAAACAAAAACCTACACCAGTATTCCTTGAACTCTTACAACATATCTCTTAAACTCCTACACTCAGTCCTTTACTCATATTGTCACTAACCACAATGATTGTCCTTCAAGTTCTATACCTGTGTAAATTCATGTCCTACGTTCATCTTGTTACCTACATTTGCATGTCTAGCCCCCCCCCCCCCCCTTTCCACCGAGAAAGTCCCCAGGGGTTCTTCAATTCAATATTGTACACAATTGTGTGCGGTTTTTCTCAAGACAGATGTGGTTATAAAAATATGATTATGTGGTATTTGTAAGAGTTAACTAAAGATTGATTTGTTTTTTTTTTAACATCCAAAAGCAAACTGTTTTTTAACATTCCACATTGAAATCTTACTTTAAAAAACAATAACTATGTCAAAATGTCTTCAAATGTACAGGCTAATTAAAATTATTTACTGGAAAAATGCTTAAAACGTGTGGGTGCAGAAATGAAATCCACAGTCCACTCCATATGATACATCCAATCAAAGCTTGTCTTACTAAAGTAAAACCTCAGATTAAAATGTCGAGTTGATGTAAATAAATAAATAAAAATGTAGCCTTTAAAGGCAAAAAAAAAGAAATATTTCTAAGTTTTTGCATTAAAATTTTTTTAAATTTAATAAAAATTGATTCTTAAAATATTTTAATGTCTGCCCCGCATTCTTGTGCTGTGGAATACAATCCATCCCTTTCACATGAAACAAAGTCCCAGGTAAGTGTCCCTAATGTCAATCTAAAGATGTTTCTTAAAGTCCTGTTTTACCTGTTACAACTGTTTTACAATACATTCTATTATAAAGGCTCGTAACAATTGGTATACATCTGGTATGTTTGAAAAACATACCACAAGAAAATGGAATTTTTAAAAATAGGAATTGATTGAAAATATAGATAAATATTCCCACGACAAGAGGAATATTGTCGGTGAAATTGGGAATAAGATCTAGGCATATTACAATAAATCAGTTAAAGATTTAAAGATGGCAACAGTGCAAATAAAATAGAACATTTGTCAATGTGGGTAGGAGGATGGACGATGAAAATGGGAACATGGACAATAATGATGGGATTAAGGTGAATGGGGATGGAGAAATGGTCGATGATTATGAGCATATGGTCAACAAAAATGGGAACATGATTAATAGAGAGGGGAATATGATTAATATAGATGGGAACATGATTAGTATAGATGGGAACCTGGTGAACAAAAATGGGAACATGATTAATACACATGGGAACATGATTAATACAGATGGGAACATGATTAAAATATAGATGGGAACATGATTAATATAGGTGGGAACATGATTCATATAGATGGGAACATGATTAATATAGATGGGAACATGATTAATATAGATGGTCGATGAAGATGGTGAGTTGACAGCCGGGGAATATTTACATAACAAAAGGCCAGGCTAGGAATGTTGGTCGATGGCAGCTGTAACAGGAACAGGGTTTATAGGAGGCACACACTGGTCAGTGGCCAAGTGGCCAACACACTGGTCAGTGGCCAAGTGGCCAACACAATGGTCACACAGTGGCCAAGTGGCCATCACACTGGTCACACAGTGGCCAAGTGGCCATCACACTGGTCACACAGTGGCCAAGTGGACATCACACTGGTCACACAGTGGCCAAGTGGACATCACACTGGTCAATGGCCCTTTCCACTGGTCACACAGTGGCGAAGTGGACATCACACTGGTCAGTGGCCCTTTCCACTGGTCACACGATAGTTGGCCAAGTGGCCTCACATTCCACGTGACAACACAGACCACGAGATGGCACATTTGTCAATTTATCACAGACACACTCACATACACACACCATGTTTACTACTACCATGTCTTTTATTGTAACCAGTCACACACACACACACACACACACACAGGTTTACTACTACCATGTCTTGTACTGTAACCAGACACACATCAACGCTTCCCATGTCAACATCCTTTGTGGCCACTGTGAATACAACTAACATTTTCCACTCTGCGTTTCGGCCAAACTGGCCATGGCTAAAAAGAAAAGGCCATACTCTTGAGCTACAAGACAACACCTTGGTAAAATCAACCAGCAATGAACACACGTTAATGTCAAACAAATGCTGGTCAGACTTTGGCCATCACTGTAATGTTGGCCATCACTATCTGTCATGTTGGCCATCACTATCTGTCAAGTTGGCCCAACTAAGGTCATCTCTATCTGCCATACTGGCCATCACTATCTGTCAAGTTGGCCCAACTAAGGTTATTACTATCTGAATTGGCCATTACTATCTGTCAAGTTGGCCCAACTAAGGTCATCTCTATCTGCCATATTGGCCATCACTATCTGCCAAACTGTCCCTGGCACCAAGCTATCTGCTGGTACACGTCGTCCAGTCTCTGCTGAAGTATCTTGACGTTCTTCTCTGGTATCTTGGCCAAGTGTTTGTGGAGGGGCTCGCTGGCGGCGAACAGGGAATGTAGCTCCTGGCCGACGCTCGACGCCTTGTGAAGCCGCGTCACGGCGTCGACGGTCTGAGTCCTGAAGACGCAGAGGGAATGCAGGAGCGCGAGGTGGTAGCTGGCGTACTTGTCAAGCAGCCTGTAGCCGTGGAACAGCCCCGACTCGTTGTCCAGGAAGACCAAGGTCCCGTCCTTGAGCTGCTCCAGGTTGTGGGCGGGGTTGCTCATCATCTGGTCGTTCCACTGGCGGTTGAACATGTTGTTGATGACGCGGTCGAGGTTGGCGGTGAGGTAGTCGAAGATGATGAGATCAGACCACTGCACCAGCTCGCAGAGTTCGGGCTGGGACTTCATGCCTAGGCCCGCTAGCGTCGGCTCTAATTTGTTTTTCTCTTCTCTGAACTCTAAAGGGATGTGGGCGGGGGAGAGGTCGGCGATGTGTTGGGTGAGGACCACAAGTTTAGAGTCGGCCCACTGGGCGAGAGACAGCTGTAAGTGGACGGTCCGCCATTTAGACGACAATGTGTCGACTTGAGCCAGGGTTGTGGGCGGCGTGTTGGTCATGTTGAGAAGACGAGCCAGATAGAAAGAGAAGATCTCGCCCTGGATCTGGTCAGTGTTGAGCCGGTACCGCGCGCAGGCTTTCGTCGCGTCACGGAACGTCACGAGGCGGTTCTGCATCCGCCCGCAGCCTTCCTCCATCTTGACCACATCGAGGTTCTCCACGCGGCGCCGCCACGCGGCCACATCGGAGGACAGGAACGCCGCGGGGCAGGACTTCTCCAGCTCCGGGCTCCACGTGACGCCGTGGACGATCTTCTGCAGGTAGAAACTATCCTCTGAGGAGTTCGCCAGACCGGCGACCTCAACACTCGCCTCCCTTTTAACAACACGTTTCGGGTTATCACCATCTCCAACAGTATCCACTAGAACTGGATCTTTCTCAATTTTGAATTTCACCTCATTTTCCCGACGCGATCCCTGTGACAGTTGGCCACCGTTTCCAGTCGGACCAGAGTCTTGTTTGTTTTCGCCTGCTAACTCCCCCAAGGTCACGGCCGGGCCGGATAACTGTGTACCGTTAGAGCGTGTGCGATCATCTCCTGCAGCCGTCGAGGCATTAGCCCTGCCCCCTGCCGGCCATTCCGGTTTAAGCCGGTTTGATCTTTGTTTGCCCATTGGTTGCGCCAACACGCTGGAGGAAGCCGGGAATGTTGTATTACGGATCTGTTGGTTCGGGGGCCGGTGGCGGAGATTTTTCTCCCCCTCCTCGCTCAGGCTTCGGCGGGAGCGGAAGCTGGGGGGCGCGTGGGGCGGCAGCTGGTCGGCGGGGTGGCTGGAGTCGCTGGGGAGCTGCAGCAGGAGGCCGAAGACCAGCCCGAGGGTGAAACCGATGCCCGTCATCATGAGCAGACCTGACTTCATTCTACCCCCGGGGTCATCCCCGTGTACCGGCGCGGTGGTGACACGGTGGGTGGTGATACAGAAGGTGGTGATACAGAAGGTGCCGAAACGACGGTGAACAATGCTGTTTGCTGGTCCAACAACAGACAGGCGGATTCACGGTTGTCAAGGAAGAAAATGGCGACTGTTTACTACCTGCAAAGAGAAAACATGACACGTGAGCGACAGATTTAGCGGCCATGTTTTTTTAAACAGCGATTGTGTGTTACGAATTAACACAGAGCCCTGCTCGTGTCTAGTAGAGGTTCGAGTCTGTCTTTGTCTTAAACCTGCTCGTGTCTAGTAGAGGTTCGAGTCTGTCTTTGTCTTTACTGAACCTGCTCGTGTCTAATAGAGGTTCGAGTCTGTCTTTGTCTTAAACCTGTTCGTGTCTAGTAGAGGTTCGAGTCTGTCTTTGTCTTTACTGAACCTGCTCTTGTCAATAGGTTAGAGCTAAAATATTAGAGACGATTCAACGAAAGAAATTAGGTCTTTACTTAATCAGGTCTTTAATTAAGTCATATCTTAAACAGAAGAGACGTTATAAAAAAACAAAGGCAATTAAAACAACGATAAAAACAACTATTATAGGAAGAAGAGCCACGGTAGTAAGAAAATGAAAAAAATATCATATACTAATTATAAAATAAAAATAATAACCATAATAAAAGAATATATTAATAATTACTATTCTTATTTTTTATGATTTTAATTATTATAAAAAAGTAATTCTAATTATTAAAAGAATAGTGCATAATACAATAAAAACAGTTGAGAATACAAGTAGAATTGTGGAAGGACATGGTAACTATTTCTACCAAATAGTAGGCCAATAATTCTATTGTCGATCACCCATGAAAAAAGCGAATAGCGAGCAGCCTTTTGGTTTTAACTGTGGTTATATAAAAAATAAATAAACTAGTGGTTTTTGTTTTTTGTTGTTGTTTTTTTTGTGAGTAAAAATAGCCCAAAATTGATCGGACTAATTATTTTTTTCAAAGCAAATACTTAAAATTTAATTAAATTTTATGATGTATTTTTCAGCATGAAATTTCATCAACTAGGAGAACCAATTATATCTGAAAATTCATTAGAATTCAATAGATCGATACGTTGAAAATTAATTGCTTTATTTTAATAATAGTCGCTTTTTAGAGAAAAAAAAGTTGTTAGAAGTATTATAAATTCAACACTGCATTATTAACATATAGTATTGTAGTTTTTATAGATTTAACTTAAGGTAATTTTAATAATTCTGGAATATTTATTGCACATTACTATAAGATTATTTATTTTCAATTAACAATTAAGTTTAGATTACATTTTCATATAAAAAGTTGGGAATTATTTATTAACACATTATTGCGCATAGCGAGTTAAAAATATTAATTAATTTATTTATTGGTAATTTACCAAGGATTATACGAATAATGAGCTATATCACAACGCTAGTTTCAAGTGAAATCAATGTTCTTAAAAAAGGTAATTCCTAAAAAGGATTATTCCTAATATGGATTATTCCTAAAAAGAAACCACGGAAATAAGTGACCTTGACACAGTAAACTTAAGCCGAGCACGTGATATTTGCTGAGAAAACAACTTGTAGCGGTTATCTGGTCATACGGGCAGACGGCTAAACAACGGACGGCGGGAAATTAATGAAAAAATCACACGACAGAAACAACACACGCGGACATGCACACACAGACACAGATACATACACGGGTCTTCGCGGTGATAAAAGTAGATAAACAGACGTCCAGAAGTCATAAACAGACGTCCAGAAGTCATAAACATTAAGTCATTTCGTTGGTTACACAAGGTCAGACGTTCACAGAGTCCCTCCGTAGAAGGGGGGGGGGGGCTAATTCAAATTGTGGGCTCCTGGTATGGTCGTGGCTAAAGGCTAGAAATGTAGCCTATGATTAGAGGTGAAAACGTGGCTCATAGTATATATATATATATATATATATATATATATATATATATATATATATATATATATATATATATATATATGAAATTTTAACAAAACTCTCTTTATAAAATATCGACAATCAACACAGAACCCTTTAAAAAGAAAAGGAAAATACCATTAAGATAAAGTGGCAAACGAAGTGCCATACAATCGTAGGGAAATCAAGAAACGAAATATCGATGGCAATAAATCATAGACTGAAACAAAGACTCCCGTTAAATATTTACCCACCAAAATTCTAAACGTAATGTACGGAAACAAAGACTGCAATAAAAGACAAACAGAAACAAAGATCGCCATACAACAAAGACAAAAGGCCACATAAAATGTCTCAAGAAACAACGGCTCTAGTTGAATGCAGGCAGAGACAGAAATTGCTCAAATGTCGATAACAGTTTGTTTGTTGACTGGTGTTTCTTGTCCAAATCTACATGAGCGATATTTAGTGGGGACACATGGGGCTAACGGACCTGGCAATGTTTAGTGAGACACCTGGGGCTAAACAACCTGGCAATGTTTAGTGAGACACCTGGGGCTAAACAACCTGGCAATGTTTAGTGAGACACCTGAGCTAAAGGACCTGGCAATGTTTAGTGAGACACATGGGGCTAACGGACCTGGCAATGTTTAGTGAGACACCTGGGGCTAAAGGACCTGGCAATGTTTGACATCTGGGGCTAACGGACCTGACAATGTTTAGTGAGACAACTGGGGCTAACTGACCTGGCAATGTTTAGTGAGACACCTGGGGCTAAATGACCTGGCAATGTTTAGTGAGACACCTGGAGCTAAAGGACCTGGCAATGTGAGACACCTGGGGCTAACGGACCTAGCTATGTTTAGTGAGACACCTGGAGCTAAAGGACCTGGCAATGTTTAGTGAGACACCTGGAGCTAAAGGACCTGGCAATGGACACCTGCATGGGGCTAAAAGACCTGGCAATGTTTAGTGAGACACCTGGGGCTAACGGACCTGGCAATGTTTGACACCTGGGGCTAAATGACCTGGCAATGTGAGACACCTGGGGCTAAAGGACCTGGCAATGTTTAGTGAGACACCTGGGGCTAACGGACCTGGCAATTTGAGACACCTGGGGCTAACGGACCTGGCAATGTTTAGTGAGACACCTGGGGCTAACGGACCTGGCAATTTGAGACACCTGGGGCTAACGGACCTGGCAATGTTTAGTGAGACACCTGGGGCTAACGGACCTGGCAATGTTTAGTGAGACACCTGGGGCTAAAGGACCTGGCAATGGACACCTGGGGCTAACGGACCTGGCAATGTTTAGTGAGACACCTGGGGCTAACGGACCTGGCAAATTTTAGTGAGACACCTGGGGCTAACGGACCTGGCAATGTTTAGTGAGACACCTGGGGCTAACGGACCTGGCAATGTTTAGTGAGACACCTGGGGCTAAAGGACCTGGCATGGTGAGACACCTGGGGCTAACGGACCTGGCAATGTTTAGTGAGACACCTGGGGCTAACGGACCTGGCAATGTTTAGTGAGACACCTGGGGCTAACGGACCTGGCAATGTTTAGTGAGACACCTGGGGCTAACGGACCTGGCAATTTGAGACACCTGGGGCTAACGGACCTGGCAATGTTTAGTGAGACACCTGGGGCTAACGGACCTGGCAATGTTTAGTGAGACACCTGGGGCTAAAGGACCTGGCAATGGACACCTGGGGCTAACGGACCTGGCAATGTTTAGTGAGACACCTGGGGCTAACGGACCTGGCAAATTTTAGTGAGACACCTGGGGCTAACGGACCTGGCAATGTTTAGTGAGACACCTGGGGCTAACGGACCTGGCAATGTTTGACACCTGGGGCTAACAGACCTGGCAATGTTTAGTGAGACACCTGGGGCTAACGGACCTGGCAATGTTTAGTGAGACACCTGGGGCTAACGGACTAGGCAATGTTTAGTGAGACACCTGGGGCTAACGGACCTGGCAATGTTTAGTGAGACACCTGGGGCTAACGGACTAGGCAATGTTTAGTGAGACACCTGGGGCTAACGGACTAGGCAATGTTTAGTGAGACACCTGGGGCTAACGGACCTGGCAATGTTTAGTGAGACACCTGGGGCTAAGGGACCTGGAAATGTTTAGTGAGACACCTGGGTAATTTGCATGTCGACCTCACCAACCTGGTTATGACAGGTGGTGACGTCTGCACACGAACCTGCACTGTTTATTTTTAGAACTTTCGCTACAGTGTACAGTCCCCGTCCTGCAGTCGGTAGGGAAACAGAGGGAGTAGAGAGTACAGAGGGCGCCATCTGCAGGCACGTCACGTGGCAGGTCTGTTTAGCGAGAAACAAAATGAAAGCCAAATGGATGCAAACCTGATGACGTAATGGTGAGGGCGTTTAGGTGGGACGTGAGCTGAGTCGGGGAGTGTGGGTGTAGGTAGATGTGTGGGAGGTGGTAGTGTGTGGGTGTGGGGGTTGTGTCTGATGGTGTGTGAGGGCGTTGTGTGTGATGGTGGTGCTTGAGGGTGAGGCGTTAGTGAGGTTGAGGTGTGTGGATGGGGTTTGTGAGGGTGTGTGAGTGGTGTTTGTGAGGAAGGTGTGTGTGGGGTGTTCGAGAGTGTGGCGTGATTGTGGGCGTGGTGTAGTTTGTGTGAGGGTAAGGCGTGTGTGGGCGGTAGTTGTGAGGGTATAGTGTGTGAGGTGTGTGTGTGAGTGGTGTGTATGATAAGGTAGATAGTGGTGTGGTTATAGGTGTGAGTGTGTAGGGTATATGCAGGCGGTATGTCTGTGGATAGTAATACATAATGACGGATAGTGTATTTATAGAATTTTAATTAACTCAATTATAAGACCGAATTATTTGTGTAACTTTACATTTGGTTTAAATATCTTTAAAATTGCCAATCGTATCTGTGTCTAGTAGCCTATGTGTCAAATGTAAAACATATTTGTGTGAAATATATGTGAATATGCTATGTATATGTGTGATATGCCAATAAATTAAGCGTGAAGTTTTGATGAGCTGTTGATGAAAGAATACATGTCTGTTTTGATGAACTGAAAGCACGGTCGGGTCGCTAGGTGTGGTTAAGTGGTTAAAATAAACAAAGCCGACAAGAAAGGTGTATTCAATGATGAGGTGGGACGGGGCAGGGGGGGGGGGGAGTGGCCCGTATGTACTCACACTCAATGCTT